ATGATGCTGCTTGGCCTGCTGTGTTCATCCAGCTCTGCACCTTGTTGGCTTGTAATTACTTGGCCTATCTCTGCTGCCTTACTTGAACAAAGGAGCCATGTTAGCTATCCTCCAATCATCTGGCACTTCACCTGTGGCCAGCAAAGTATTAAATATCTTTGCCAGGGCCCCAGCAATCTCCTCCCTTGCCACCCATAGCAGGCTGGGAAGTATCCCATCCGGCCCTGGGCAGTTGTGCACCTCTATGCCTGTTAAAACATCTAATACCTCTTCCTTATTAATCTCACCATTCCAACTGGAATCCCCAGCTACAATGTCTTCTCTGTGAACACAGGTGAGAATTATTAATTTAAGATCGTGTCCATGTCTATTGGCTCCATGCGTAGGTTGCCCCTTTGGTCTCTATTAGGTCTCGTTCTTTCCCTGGCAATCCTCTTATTTTTAATATACCTATAAAAAGCCTTGGGGATTTTCTTGATCCCATCTGCCAAAAATATTTGTGGCCTCTCTTTGCCTTCCTAATGTCCTTTTCAAGTTACCTCCTGCACTCTCTACACTTGCGAAGGGCCTCCCCTGTTTTAATGCACTGTATCTGACATATTTTTCCTTCTGTTTCCTTAGCAACCTGTCTATCCCCTGACATCCAGTGCTCTTTGAGCCTGTTGCCCTTGCGTTTAACTATTTGAGGAACACACTAGACCTGAATTCTCACTATACTACTTTTAAAAGACTCCCACTGATGTGCAAATAGTAGTCTATATTTGGCAGATCCTGTCAAATGATGTTGAAATCGTCCTTCCCCCAATTTAGACACTTAACTTCTGCACTATCCTTACTCATTTCCATAATGACTTTGAAACTTAGAGTTATGATTACTGTTCACAAAATGCTCACCCACTGAAACTTCACCTGTTTGACCGGCTTCATTCTTTAGGATTAGGTTTGCATTGCCCTATTTGTGGTATGACTATCTGCGTACTGGCACAAAAAGTTCTCCTGGGTGCATTTTAAAAATTCCACCCTGCCTGATCCTTGTGCACAAAGTATGCACAAATATAGGAAGTGTGTTCAGCTACAGTTCCTGATTAATCGTATGGAGTGCTGGAGCTGCAGATAAACTCACTGTGGTTGAGATGTTGTGCCTTCTTAACCACCGTCTACCTGTGACGCAAATTTCAAAGAATGTGAAAATTAAAAACAAACCGATCATCCATGATCTTATAGAATGGCAGAACAGAATCGAGGGGGCTGAATTATCTACTTCTGGTTCAGAAAGAGTACTGGAGTTCAGTTTTTGGAGTACAGGACACAGATCACCCAGGAAAGGAGGGTGATCAACAGAACAAAAGTTGTCGATGAGGCAGTTCATGACGAACAACATTTGACAACATCTGGGGGGAATTGCTGAGAAATCTGTGGGATCAGGCTTGATTGCATTAGCTATCTGATGGGGTGTTTGATGGTGGAATATCACCCATGATCAATTCTGGGTGTTAGAAATAAGTGTACTTGCATTGTAGATTGTTTTACTTTTAGTTACAAGTTAGAATACTACTGGTTATTCAAAACTGCAGAACCTTTTGGCCTTATTCTTCTGGTTCTCGTCTTTCATCCACTGTAAAGATAAAAGTTCCTGGTCCCTAACCAGTTCTGATGAAGAATCATCGGACCCAAAACGTTAACTCTGCTTTCTTCCCACAGATGCTGCCAGACCTGCTGAGTTTTACGAGAAATTTCTTTCTAGTTTCAGTTCATTATATAATTTGGTGATCTCATCTGGGATCCTAACGTAAGGTTACTTGTCTCGTAACTTGGGAGCCCTTGTAGGATGAGTAATCCATGTACAAATAAGAGTGCTGAGAATTGTTGAGGTTAAAAGCTGATTAAGATTTTCAGGGTGAATTTTACTATATGCGTTGAAAACGAAAATGACTTTGTTAGTTGCTACAACTTTTGTGGAGAATGAAGATCTGTTCCTGAGTTGTTTACAAACACTGACCAAAGTCAGGTTAACAGCATTAGCAATAAAGTTAGAATTAAGCTATAGTTAAAAGCAAGAGCTAAGATAATAAATATGGAGTCTCCTTTTTGTTGTTCTCAGAACTCACTGACCTTTGATCCCTGTATATAATTTTTTGACACTAATTTTTGCCCAAACTAATCTAAGTGACTGATTTGAAAATCTATCAATATGTCATCTTCATTTGCTAGGTAGAATTGAATGTTGTCACCTAGCAATTCTTGGAATTGCCTGTTCCTTAAGTGCTACGACTTATGGATTGCTGGCTTGCTCAGTATAAAAGAAATGAATATAATGAGAAGATTTTGCAACACCACTATTTTCTGTTTATAATTAGATCTTAAGCATTTGACAACTTTACATTTTTGAGATGTATCATTTGTTTTTTGTTCTACAGGTTAAATACTGCCAGTGATAACATGCTTAACTTTACACTTGAATTTACAAACTGGAAGAGGCTTCCATCAATTGTGGAGCAGATTCTTTTCTGTCGCAGAGCAAACTCTACTTGGGTTCATCAGAAATATTTTGGTATGTAAGCTCTCAAAGTGCAAATTAAAGTGAAGTACATTTGAGTCACTGTGACGCTTAATTTCATAAAGATTCTTATTCTTACTGAGATCACTAAATTTAGAGCAATCTTTTTGAAATAGCTTTTATTTGAGATTGTTTACTTAACTTCTTTTACCTCTCTCTCACTGCCTGTGCTGATTGTTTTTGTCTGATTTTCCTCTTGGTGTTGTGAAAGGCTATATATTTATTCCTCCTTCATATTGTTAAACATATTTATTTGCTTCATATTTACCCTGAGATTTCTGTCTTTTGCGGCTCATAATCCTTTCAAATTTTTTCTATCTATATAAATCACTGTCGTGTTCCAGTAATTTTAGCTGCCCGGTTATCATCATTCTGAGATCCTTAAATGCTACCTGTTTCTTGGTTCACTTTTCTTTCACTACTGTGCTCTTTAGCTATAATTTAATATGAATTATAACTGAAATCATTCGTGTTGGCGTTATATATTACAAAATAAATCAGAAGTTTTAAACATCCTCCTCTTCTGAGAAATATCAATCTTGGCAAGAGGGAGGGAAGAGCAGGAGAACAGGTGATATGGTTGGAAGCGTTTGAATGATAAGTGACAGAGAATGGAATATTTCTTAGGCTGTCTGCAGTTTTACATTGGATATTATTGGGCACTGATGATTTTTCTGCTCATTATGCATCAGACAGGTGTAACGAGCCTTTGATTGATCCACTGACACTTTATTGAGCAAGAAGGCAGTGACAGAAGTGTTGTTGCTGGAAAAGCACAGCAGGTCTGGCAGCATCTATGAAGAAAAATCAGAATTAACGTTTTGGGTCTGGTGACTCTTCCTCAGAACAGGGCCCTTCCTGTTTGGGAAGGTGGGTCCGTGAGCCAGGCTGAATTGCTAAATAATGGATGGATGGGGGAGCTTAATGGTTCTACTTCTGTTTGATATGGAGAGAGCATTAAATGAGATGAGAGGGTAATAGATGAATGGATTAGGACTAAAACAGAGATGAGGGAGGAGTATGAGAGGGTAAGAAGGATTGCTTAATGTTGTGCAGTTGGAATGTGAGGGTTATTGAAATAATTGTTGGAGGAGGGGCTGTTGCAAGAACAAGGGTACTACTGCCTAGTGGACTGAAATAATGCTCAGTGCAAAAAAGATTAGATACATTTGGTATATTGCTGTAGTGCTGTTTAGTGAGTGGGGAAGTCTGGTCCTGTTTGAGTGTGGGAGAAAATGATCATTATTTGCAGTATGTTCATGTGTGTGATGCTGTTGGTGTGCTCTGTGAAAGGGTGAGTTTAACTCTTTATTTCCTCTGAGACCATGTGAAATTCATGTGCAGGAGATGTACACATGAGGAAATGGCATACAACTCAAATTTTATTGCAAGGCTGAAGGTTAAATACATTTTTTACTGATAACAAGCTTCCAATCACAGGTTACACATTTACTTACCCCAGTCTCCACCCAGTTGTATTAGGATAGTTCACATTCCAAGTTAGTACACATGACCGTACTATTCAATCACATTATTACATGTTCACATCTCAAATGGTTAATCTGTATTTTGTAATTACCAGTGGGATGACATTAGATTTCCTCACAAGACACATCATGATCACCGAAAGCCGTTGCTTATTAATTCTTTCCAGGCCATACCTTTTTTTTCCTTTATTCATTCACGGGATGAGGGTGTCGCTGGCTAGTCAGCATTTATTACCCATCCCTAATTGCCCACAGGGCAGTTCAGAGTCAACCACATTGCTGGGGGTCTGGAGTCACATGTAGGCCAGACCAGGTAAGGATTGCAGTTTCCTTCCCTAAAGGATATAAGTGAACCAGATGGGTTTTTCTGACAATTGACAATGGATTCACAGTCACCATTAGATCGTTGATTCCAGATGTTTTTTTGAATTCAAATTCCACCATCTGCTGTGGTGGGATTCGAACCCAGGTCCCCAGAACATTATCTGCAGCGTGACCAATTACATAATTACATTCTGATTGGCCTAAGCTAAACGTGACTTAAGAGAGATGGACATTGACTGAAGTCACCTCCCACTATCTCCTGACTGGCTTCTTATGATGTCAATTATTATTGGGTCCATCCTCTTCATTAAGTTTGCTATTGTGACTTTGCTAAGATAAATATTCTTTGCTCCTTTGTTATAGGGAAAAAGAGAGTAGTCTGCACTCAGTATCTTATGTCTCAATCCTAGTTCAATTGGTGAAATTTCCAACAAAATAGACATTTCCAACTCACTAGAGATAACAAAGTGTACAGCTGGATGAACACAGCAGGCCAAGCAGCATCAGAGGAGCAGGAAAGCTGACATTTCGGGTCTGGACCCTTCTTCAGAAATGGGGGAGGGGAAGGGGACTCAAATAAATAGAGAGAGAGGGGGAGGTGGATGGAAGATGGATAAAGGAACAGATAGGTGGAGAGGAGACGGACAGGTCAAGCAGGCAGGGAGGGAGCCAGTAAAGGTGAGTGTAGGTGGGGAGTTAGGATGGGGGTTGGTCAGTCAAGGGAAGACGGACAGGTCAAGGAGGTGGGAATGAGGCTGGTAGGTAGGAGGTGGGGGTGGGGGTTGAGGTGGGTGGAGTGGATAGGTGGGAGAAAGGACGTACAGGTTAGGGAGGTAGGGATGAGCTGGGCTAGTTTTGGGATGCGGTCGGGGGCAGGGAGATTTTGAAACTTGTGAAGTCCACATTGATACCATTGGGCTGCAGGGTTCCCAAACGAAATATGAGGTGCTGTTCCTGCAACCTTCGGGTGGCATCGTTGTGGCACTGGAGGAGGCCCAGGATGGACATGTCGTCCAAGGAGTGGGAGGGGGAGTTGAAGTGGTTCGCGACTGGGAGGTGCAGTCGTTTGTCGCCATCCAAGCGTAGGTGTTCCACAAAGCGGTCTCCAAGCCTCCGCTTGGTTTCCCTGATGTAGAGGAGGCCACATCGGGAACAGCGGATGCAGTATACCACATTTGCAGATGTGCAGGTGAACATCTGTTTAGTGTGGAAGGTTTTCTTGGGGCCTGGGATGGGGGTGAGGGAGGAGGTGTAGAGGCAGGTGTAGCACTTCCTGCAATTGCAGGGAAAAGTGCCGGGGGTGGTGGGGCTGGTGGGGAGTGTGGAGCGGACAAGGGAGTCCCAGAGAGAGTGGTCCCTCCGGAAAGCAGATAAGGGTGGGGAGGGCAAAATGTCCTTGGTAGTGGGGTCAGATTGCAGGTGGTGGAAGTGGCGGAGGATGATGCGTTGGATCCGGAGGTCGGTGAGGTGGTATGGAAGGACGAGGGGGATTCTGTTTTTGTTGTTATTGTGGGGAGGGTGTGTGAGGAATGAGTTGCGGGAAACGCAAGAGATGCGGTCGAGGGCGTTTTCGACCACTGTGGAGGGGAAGTTGCGGTCCTTGAAAAATGAGGACATCTGGGATGTCCGGGAGTGGAATGCCTCATCTCAGGAGCAGATGCGGCGGAGGCGAAGGATTTGGGAGTAGGGGGTGGCGTTTTTGCAGAAAGATGGGTGAGAGGAGGTGTATTCTAGGTAGCTGTGGGAGTCGGTAAGCGTGAGATAGATATCGGTTTCCAGGTGGTTACCAGAGATGGAAACAGAGGTCCAGGAAGGAGAGAGTGGTATTGGAGATGGTCCAGGTAAACTTAAGGTTGGGGTGGAAGGTGTTAATGAAGTGGATGAACTGTTTGAGCTCCTCGTGGGAGCACGAGGCGGCACCGATACAGTCATCGATATAATGGAGGAAGAGGTGGGGGATAGGGCAAGTGTAGCTTCGGAAGAGGGATTGTTCCACGTATCCTACAAAGAGGCAGGCATAGCTTGGGTCCATGCGGGTACCCATGGCCACCCCCTTTGTCTGTAGGAAGTGGGAGGAATTGAAGGAGAAGTTGTTAAGGGTGAGGATGAATTCAGCTAAGAGGATGAGGGTGTCAGTGGAGGGGGACTGTTCGGGCCTGCGAGACAGGAAGAAGTGGAGGACCTTTCGGCCATCTGCATGGGGAATGCAAGTATGTAGGGACTGGATGTCCACGGTGAAGATGAGGTGTTGGGGACCAGGGAATCGGAAGCTTTGGAGGAGGTGGAGGGTGTGGGTGGTGTCACGGACGTAGGTGGGGAGTTCCTGTACCGGGGGGAGAAAATGGAGTCGAGATAAGTGGAGATAAGTTCGGTGGGGCAGGAGCAGGTGGAGACAATGTGTCGACCAGGGCAGTCAGGTTTGTGGATTTTGGGAAGGAGATAGAAACGGGCAGTGCGAGGTTGGGGAACGATGAGGTTGGAGGCCGTGGGTGGGAAGTCACCTGAAGTGATGAGGTTGTGGATGGTCTGGAAGATGATGTTTTGGTGGTCGGGGGTGGGGTCATGATCAAGGGGGTGGTAGGAGAAGGTGTCAGAGAGCTGGCGCCTGGCCTCGGCGATGTAGAGGTCAGCGCGCCATATGACAACTGCACCACCCTTGTCCGCGGGTTTTATGGTGAGGTTGGGATTGGAGTGGAGGGAGCGGAGGGCTGCACATTCTGTGGGGGAGAGGTTGGAGTGGGTGAGAGGGGTGGAGAGATTGAGGCGATTGATGTCTCGACGGCAGTTGGAGATGAAGAGGTCGAGGGAGGGTATGAGGCCTTGGGGTGGTGTCCAGGAGGAGAGGGTGTGTTGGAGGTGGGGGAAGCCTCATCCCTGCCTCCTTGACCTGTCCGTCTTCCCTTGACTGACCTACCCCCATCCTAACTCCCCACCTACACTCGCCTTTACTGGCTCCATCCCCGCATCCCTGACTTGTCTGTCTTTTCTCCCACCTATCCGCTCCTTCCACCTCAACCCCCACCCCCACCTCCTACCTACCAGCCTCATCCCGCCTGCTTGACCTGTCTGTCTTCCCTGGACTGACCAACCCCCATCCTAACTCGCCACCTACACTTACCTTTACTGGCTCCATCCCCGCCTCCTTGACCTGTCCATCTCCTCTCCACCTATCTGCTCCTTTAT